GGGAAAGACTGAAAACATCACAAAAAACCCCAGGCTGAAGGGTCAAGAGCGGAAATGTGCATCTCTCATCTAACCAGCTAAGCAGAGATAAAATGAACCTTTCAGTCCTTCCGAGTCCTTTCCAGCACAGGATGGCTGTTGGGAAGAGCCAGGCGGGAGGGGAGCCTCCTGCTTCGCCAAGAGCCACTTCTCTGAACTTCATCTAACGGATTGGCAAACTCTGTGCAGCTTCCCCTCCCTGTGGTGCTTCACCTGCTACTCGATCAGCATTAACTGTCGCGAGTCTCTCGGGTGACGGGATTTTTGTCAAAGGAACTTCCTCAGCCGCTGAAGCGGAGCGGAGGCCACAGTGACCTGCGGGGAGTGGGAGCCTCTGAAGGTCGAATGAAGTGGGGGAGTAAAAGGCTTGCCTGCTGGGAGGAGGTACGCCTGCTTCCCGCCCGGAACCGCGACAAAGCGGGCACCAGAACGACTCAAGCAGCAAAACGGAGCCAGCAGGGAGGCCGAGGTGCGCTTGCTGCCTGGCCCGGGCAGGGTGACGCCTCCGGGGGAGGTCCCGTCCTGTGTCAGACCTGCAGAGCTTTCGGTGACGCCTACAGCTCGCTGTGCCTGGGCCGAGACCCGCGACGTGCGGCAGTGCGAGCGCTGTGGTCTCCTTGCGCGGGGAAGCGTTGCGCTTCACCGGGCTCCTGCTGCGAGCTTGGATTCTGCTGGGCAAGGCATCCTGGCCGCGTTCCATGAGAACTTCCCTCCCTCGCCGCTTGCTGGGGCCTCCCCCGGTAACGGCCCGACTTGCTCCTAGTCGCTTCAGCTCTGAAGAGCAATAAACCCTTGATTTGGCGTTCCGTGCTCGAACTGGGTAAGCATCCCGGAAGGCAAGGCGGCGGCTGAGGGTTCTTCCCTGCGGTGTTTGAAGTAAATGAGACAAAGCAGCCGAGTGCTTTCCCTGGAGCCAGCTGGGGTAGGGGCAGCTGCCCTCCCAGCAAGCGAGGGGAGTCGCGTGGATCTGTACACGCTTACACACACACACGGGTGTGGAAAGGCCCCTCGCTGAAATCAGATTTTGATCAATATGCTGATCTTCATGCTGGTTTTATTGCAGCTGCTACCTACCCAACCTTACCGGCTCTTCAACTGCTTTTTTTTAATTTCTGATCTGTCCTCTCTGGATTTTTAAGAGCACAAGAACCAAATCTTCCCCTTTGCCTGTTCTCATGAGGTTTGGGGTGGAGATGATGGAGCACAGGAACGACGCAGTTCTCCAAGCGAGCGCCCAGCCCTGGAGCGTTAGGGTTCCCCTGGCTGCTGCGCTGTGCCTGCTGGCATGAAGGCCCCTCCTTGCTTTTTATGGCCAAAAGTGGAAGGTTTTGGACCCTGTCTGTGTGCCTTTGTCTGTTGTTCTGCCCTTGCTCTTGGAATACAATAATTTAGAGTTTTCTTTTGGTAAGTCTTCCTTAAAATCAGAAATGCTTAACACCACAACAGCCTCACGGGCAACAGTAGACACGTTCAGGTGAGAGACAGGGTGGGTGCTTCCTTCGCAAACTGCCACAATGTGGATTTTTCCCTAAGTTTTTCTGTGAGAGGAGACACTCAGAATCATAGAATTGTTCAGCTTGGAAAAGGCCTTTAAGATCATCAAGCCCAACTGTTCCCCTAACCCTGCCATCCCACCACTAAACCCTGTCCCTAA